CCTACATTTAGGTCGCTTAACATCCACCCACAAGCATTCAAAACAGTTGGATGTGAGATCAGACTTAACCACAAAAGGTATGCCGTCTCGAACAAAAAATCATGACTCCTCCACCACAACTTTTAACCAAGCTGACCCTATCCTTTCGTGCCAGCGAGAAGCCTTGCAAAGTAACTTCGTCATCCATAATATCTGGAGTTAGCCATGTTTCCGACAGAGTCAAAATGTCAATAGAATGCTTGTTCACAAATTCTTTGACATAGTCGAGTTTATTCAGCAGGTGGTTAACGTTTAAATGGGCAATCCTGAAACCTCGCAACAAACGGATTTCAGACTGATCATTAAAATCTTCAGGATGTTGTAAGGTCAAATTGCTACTGCTTAAATCATTTAAGGAATTTACGCTGGGAAATAAACAAGTGAAACATCCAGTTAGAAGACTCATTTATCACAAGTGAGTGATACTCCTCAAAGCCCATGTTCATACATTTCGCGTGGTACCATTTGTTACACTCATCGCATTGAACTGCTTTTTGATTTGAGCGACATCCTTTCGAGCAGACAGCACACGGATCTTTAACAGGGCCAGGATTTGAACTCACATCACCCGACAAAAGCACCACAAGCGAAGCTGAGAGACCAACATTAGCTTAGGTAGACTTCAAGTTGCACTGCTTTCAGCTGGCTATACAGATATTATTTTAAAAGTTAAACAAGTGATTTGACTGGAGGTGCTGGATTTAAGGAAAGATCTAGTGGCAGTGCTTCCACCAGGATATGGCAAATCACTAGTTTTTCACCTTTTGCTGTGATTGTTGAAGGAAAGGGATGCAATATGCACTTCTCCTAGTACAACTTGTAAGTCTGTAGTTTTAGTTGTTTCGCCCTTGAACACCTTAATGTGCAACCAAGTTTCAAGCGCAAGAGATAAAGGAGTACAAGCAGTAATTTTGGGGTGTAGTGTAGTGAGAGTGACGTTTACATCACGTGACACTGGAAACCATGTGCTAGAGAGAGTGTCAATAGAATTGTTGTGTTCCTACAATATCATGTAGGGAATCAACTTCTCTTACGAAGCTACTACATTTGGCGACGAGGACAAAAGTCAAACACAAGACAAGCTTGTCTGGAATTCTGAGCTATGGCTGTCTGTTTAAGTGGACTAACTGGTTCTGAAGCATTTGACAAAGTTGGTGAGCCTGCCACTCTTTGGCAGCCTTGGCGACTTTGGAACGATGAATTCGAACTTTTTGTGACAGCATCAGGCATCGATGACCCGAAACAGCAACGAGCCCTCCTTTTACACCTAGCAGGACCGGGCATAAGAGAAATCTTCCATACCATTCCCAGGGAAATGAAGGGCGTCACTAAAGACTACAAGAAGACGATGAAGTCACTCAACGATTATTTCAAATTAAAGAACGTTCCAAAGGCGAGACAAAACTTTCTAGGAGCAATGCCTGCACCAGGTGAGCGAATAAATAACTTTGTAACCAGATTTAGCAGCTTAGCTGAACATTGCGAGTATGGAGAAGAGAAAGACAATATGACGAGGGACCAAGTGTTAACACACATAAAGGACAAAAACTTGAAGTCTAAATTATATTGGTCCAAGAATTTAACCTTATCCAAGCTCTTAGAAGTAGTGAGCCAATATCATGATAAGGATGCCCTGATCCTTATCCAGCCCGAAGACCAAATCAAGTGAGTGGAGCTTGCTGAGGAACAAACTACTTTCCTAATGAAATTCCAAGGCAGATGTTGGAATTTTAACAAAATCGGGCACCTGGCCAAGAACTGTCGCTGCTCACGTGACCATGTTTGCGAATCCTGTGGAAGACTGGGCCATTTTGCTGTTTGTTGCCAATACCACCAAGAACATGCCAGCAACACAACCTGCACCACCAGTCATGGGAGAACCCCTCTGCAGACCAGGAGAGGGGGCAAACGAGAAAAGTGCATGCTGTCACCCAACAAGCGGATGGCGAGGAATCAGAGGATAATGCATTCTGCGTCCACTAGTGAGGGCCTTGGAACATTAGAACTGCATATAAATGATAACATAACTACTGTTACTGTTGATTAAGGTGCCACCTGTAATCTCATGTCAGAGCATGTGTTTCATTCCCTAACAGGGGCAAAAGCACCCTTAGTAAGTGTGGTAAAAATGTGTATGCATACACACACTCCAAACCACTAGATCTTAAGGGAAGCTGCATGTTAAGAGTCACTGTGCCACAGATCAACATGTCAGCCATTGCAGAATTTTACATAGTCCCAGGGCAGGCTGCAACTCTGCTAGGTCATAAAACATCAGAGAAGCTTGCAATCCTTTAACAACTGCAACACAATCATTGACAATCCCCAAAGCTGCTCTTAGGGTTAAACTCCCCAAAGTTTTTGAGGGCCTGGGCAAGCTAAAGGGCTATCAACTAAAGTTACACCAGGATGACAGTATCGCACCTGTGTCACAACCCCTTCGCCAAATACCATTTAGCAGGAGGCAGAAAGTGACCACAAAGTTGAAGCAATTAGAAGAACTGGATGTCATTGAAAAAGTCAATGGTCCCACCAGCTGGAACAATTCACTTGTTGCCGTAGAGAAGCCCAACGGAGACATTCGCATTTGTTTCGACATGAGACAGGTGAATCGTGCGATCCTCAGGGAGAAACACCCAGTTCCTGAAGTCATATGTTAATGAGGAAAAATGTAAACAATGATGTTACAAAAGATTTGCCCATTTAAAAAGGGAGGCACTAGCCGTCCGGTGGGCCTGTCAAAAATTCGACCTCTACTTGTATGGAATGGAGTTTTAGCTCTGCACAGACCACAAACCATTGGTAACTGTCTTCGGGGAAAGAGAACTCTACGGACGCTCTAAGCCGGTTCCCAGTAGGTCCAGCTCAGGACCATGATGCCTGTGAGAGCACAGAATATGCCTGCAGCATAGCTAGTGAAGCCGTACCAGCAGCACTCACACCCCAACAAGTTGAGCAAGCATCTGCAAAAGATCCCACATTACAGTTGGTTTGTCAAGCTGTTGCCTCAGGAAACTGGAGTCGCTTATCGGGCACACTGTACGAAAGCTTTGGCAGAAGAACAAGGGGTCCTTGGCCAGCTTCTCCCCAGGGGTAACCATATTATCATGCCAGAAAGCCTCTGGAAGCATACTATTGCACTCACACATGAGGGCCACCAGGGTATGACACACACAAAGGCTTACCTTAGAGAAAAGGTATGGTGGCCCAACTTGGACAAGCAGGTTGAACAGTCTGTAAAAACCTGCCACCCTTGCCAGCTAGTCGGCCCTAGAAGCAAGACTGAACCTATCAGGTCAACAACATTACCCAAAGTTCCATGGGGTGACATCGCCATTGACCTATTGGAGATTCCCCGTGGAAACCACCTGCTTGTAGTAGTAGACAACTACTCATGCTGGCCCAAAGTTATCTTGTTAAAAAAGACAGACGCTTCACTCGTCACAAGAACAATGGAGGGTATCTATCAAACACATGGCAAACCCGAGAGTGTCTGCAGTGACAATGGCCTGCCATTCCCTCTGCAGAATTTGAAGGCTTTCTAGATTACCTAGGAATAGCTCACCTAAAAGGAATCCCCTACTGGCCTCAGAGTAATGGTGAAGTCCAGCCCTGTAACGAGACTTTACTAAAGATAATAAGGATCACCACCTTAGAAAGTAGAGGGGCAAAATTTTCTCTTCCAGTACCGAACTGCACGTCACACAGTGTCTGGATTGTTCCCAGCCAAGTTCTTGATGGGTCGACGCCTTAATGATAAACTCCCAAGAGTTACCATTCCAAGTGAGAGAATCACCAAGGCTCACTGGCAGCAGCTTCTTCGCGAAAGAGATGCGTGGGGAAAACTTCGACAGAAAGAGTATGCAGACAGCAAGCGGTTGGCACAATACAGTGATATTGGAGGAGATCACATCTTGCTCAACAAGAGCCGTGACAGCAAACTGTCTCCCAACTTCAAACCACTACCATACAAAGTGGTGGAAAAGAAGGGCAATGCTGTCCTAATACAAGATCAGGAAGGAAACACCAAGCTGCATGACGCGAGTCACATGAAGAAGTTTATCCAGCTGGACCCTTCCACTGAAGCCACTGAAGCTCACAGAGGAGACAAGGCAGAGGACATGCCCACTGGAAGACAGTTGGAAACAACTGCTTTGACCCCACCAACCAATATTGATAAGCAGCCTACCCTACCTTCTGAATCCAGTGCAAGTCCCCTTCCTTCAAGGCTCGCTCGTGTTAGGCACCCTCCAGCATGGATGAGTGTCTTTGTATCCCTTTGTGCTTAAACTCCAAAACATCCAATGCAAATCTATGTAGATGACTCTATGCAAATTTATTTGTTTGTAGTTTCTGGACATTGGACATTCATTATTTGGCCATTAGCTATCTGCGTGATAGGGAGTTTTGTAATATGTAAGGGGGTGATGTGGCGTAGTGACAGTGACATTTACGCCACGTGACATTGGAAACCATGTGCTAGAGAGAGTCTGCCATCTTGTCAATAGAATTGTTGTGTTCCTACAATATTTTGTGTTTTCTTCTCTTGCGAAGCTACTACATGGGGGTGAAAGAGGATGATGATTCACCAGTTACAAATACTCCTCAGTAGGAAGGAACTAGAGAGTGTATTATTCAGGCCGAATATGAAATTGTTTTCTCTCACCTGGAGGCATTCTTATCGTGTGAGGACCGATTAAAAGTTCTTCAGAGCACAATCTATATATAAGCCGTCAAAGCAGTGATTTTAGATGAGGCGCATTGCGTCCTTGAATGGTGAGCAAATGCATTTAAAAAAGCTAAAAGTACTCTAATCCATTACATGACACTTTTTCAGAAATGTTGTAATGTAGCCAGTTTAGATCCTTGTGTCCTGTATTTTTTTAAAAGAATACTGATCATGACATGAGTAATAAATAGTTGTTTTTCTTATTCTATCACTGGGTTGATATCAAAAATATATTCACTCTTGTCTTATTTTACTGCATCCATAATTGCATTTCTAGTAAATAGTAAGTGATGGATTGAAGACTCACCATCAGTAAAATGATCAAATTATACCTTGACCTATCTTGTCCTCATGTAATTATTCAAGGCTTTTCCTCCCCTTTCTCCAAGGAGTTCTAAGATTTGGGAGGATATGATGCAATTAGCCATGTGGCGGTACTTTTGGCACTTCGATCAATAATTATTATGAACTGTATTATATCTTACTTTTCAAACAGGGGAGATGACTTCAGGCCTGATTATGGGAAATTAAGTGTACTTGCTGCCCTTTTCCCAAGTGCTCCCATAGCAACCCTTACTGCAACAGCAACAACTGGTGATAGACAGACTATTTGTAACACACTTTGTCTGAAGAATCCCAAGCCGTTAATAGCAAATCTCAACTGCCCAAATGTCTTTTTTTGCCAAGGTATTCAGAGAGGGAAGTGATAATGA